CTCGCATGAGGAGCGCGGACTAGAGGCTGGAAGGCGGATCCCTCGGACCGGCCAAGATGCATTGATTCGGCGAGGAGGCCCTGCCGGTCAGCACGTAGGCCCCGGTGAGGGCCTCCGACGGGAGGCATGCTGGCAAGGCTGCAGGGCCAAACCTCACACGGCTGCCTCGACGAGGCCAGATCAGAGCACAAGCATGAATGCACATTGTAGACACTATGAATGTAATCATTCATATCTTCATCAGTGTGGGGAGGAGCCGATCGGGAGGCCTGTGAGAGGCCTTTTTTACTCTACAAAGTCCTGTGTTTTTACTCTATAAAGTCCAGTGTTAAAGCTGGCTTATTTCTGCGTCGCTTTTGCTAAAGAGAGGGATTCAATGAATTCTGAATGGTTGCGGCCAATTGATTTGCGAGTCAGCAGCCTTTACAAGCTAATCGTCCCACTTTGGGATGCATCGGAGTATTTCCATTGAGGACACAGAACAAGCCAGCCTGGGATGAGTCTGAATGGACCGTATGGAACGTCTACACTTTTCTGCAGGCTGGTCTACGTCAGGACGGCTCAGAGGCTTTTCTTTGGGCAGGTGCTTCATCGTCTCTGATTGAAAAGGGGCACTTTGTACCTTTAAAGGAGGTACTTTCGATCGTTCGGGTAAAAGGAGCAGGTGCTGCGGTCCTCCCAGAGCCCAATCCCCTGCACGTCCCTGCTCTGCGTGTGAGGAAGAGGATGTCCGCTTTGTGGCGAGATGCGAGGAGAGCTGAGCCACGACCCCTGGTCCTTCATCAGAGTAGATGGCTCCTCTGAGCACGTTCACGCTTCATCTGTCCAGCTGACGTTTCCTCACATGACATTTTAGAAACCCACCGGATGTGACCGGCATTTCTGGAAAGCCACAGCAGTGACGTTAACACCCAGCGCACGTCGTACAATTATTTTTTTTTAGAACTGCATCAGGAAGCCCGGACAGAAGCGAAACGAAATGAATCAGACTTTACAGCCCTACATGACAAGCGTGGTCAGGGAGGACTTGTGGGGTGATCATGCTTCCCGCTAACTGGTGTGATGCAGTCAAAGCAAAAGAGACAAGGGCTGACTTACAGCTTGCGAACGTGACATTAAGCCATAATCGCCTAACAGTTGCCATGGTGACCCATGTGGCACGTCCTGCCCTCCCCTAACCCCGATGATGCGTTGTGCGCGTAGAGGGCCAAACAGGCACTATTGTGCAGAGAGCCCCCACCCCCAGTCTTTGGAGTATTCCACCCGGTCCCAGCAGTTTGGGGGTTTGGGCCTGGGGTTCATTTCCAAAAATACGTATATATTTATAAGTCATGATGTGCTGCCCCCCTCACTTAAAAAATCACCACCCCCCAAATCTCCCTCCCCCCATAGGTCATTTCCAAAGTAAAAAGTATAAAAACATTGAGAAGTCTGCAAGAAAATAAAACAATTTTTGACATTTCTGACAAAAAAAATAACGTACTTACTGCTGTGAGGACCAGTTAAATGTCATCACTGTTTTTGAATCGTCCTTGGCAGGAGAAGAAGGATGTCACATATTAAACTGAGTCTACAATTGAACAGCTTTGCAAAATACAGGCAGTTCTGTAAATCCTTATATAATTTTATGTAAGTCAGATTTATCTTCCCATACTGCTCAGAACACATTATAGCAAAAAACACATAAACCAGACAAACCATACCAGTAATATGTTATAAAGAACATATTAAATGAATGAAAAGCCAAAGTGTAAATTGACTTAGCGCTTCCATAAACCCTACATATCTTGGATATTTTTTGTGCAAGTCGAGAGCTGCCAGTACACATGTGCACTGAAACGCAGACTCACATCGTGGGGTAACTTCTCCTTAACTTCAGAATAAGCACCATCTGTGATTGCTTTCCCCGGAAGAATTGCTATAAATTTCTTGCCAGGTTCCAGACGTTTATGAGTCTACCATGTCCTTCCTTCACTAACCACATTACAATTCGGGTCTGTACTACATAGATCATTCCTACCCTTTAGACCCAAAAAGGATTTAGGTTATACATTCTGAGCATAACTGTCCAAATATTTATCCATCCATTTTTCATAACTGCTCATTCAGTTCAGGGTGACAGTGTTCCCCGAGGGAATCCCAGAATGCACAAGTCACAGAGTGCCCTGGATAGGTGGATATCACAGCACATGCTATATATTCTCACAAAAAATCATGCACTATGGGTAGTTAAGAGGCAGCACTTAACGCATTTTAAGACTGTAGGTGAGATACGTGGGAAAACTCTTCACACAATGAGTCGAGGGCGGGAACTGAACCCACAACCTGTAAGGTTACAGTGACTGCCAGTGAGCCAGTGCTGGACCCAAAATGTCAGTGCACCTATTTTGTTAAACTTCAAAAAAAAGAAAACCAGATGACGTGTTTTGAGAATTAATGCTCATGAATGGCATTAACAGTGGATACGAAACTGGCAAATTGTTTATAACACAAACCATTCATGGATACTTTTCATAGCACTGGTCAATATACAGACCCGTCGCATGAAAGGAGTTCCCACAATGCAAAGACACAGATCTGTTTGAAATGAGCACGCTGACTCCTGCTGGCACCATGCTGGCTGCACACTTGTCTACTTCTGCCTCGTCACCCTGCCTGAAACTTCAGAACATCCAGCTGTGACTCGGCTTTGAAAAGGTGGTCGAGCTTATAGGGCTGCCGGGATTCCGAGTGAGGAATTCGTCACTGCGAGGAGGAAGCCAGGAGGAGGGACTGCATGCCTGTGGCTGAGCAGTACACCTCCCACGAGGAGGTCTGTATACAGCAGAGAGACTGCCTTGCTTGGAACTATTCTGTGTGCCTATCACAGCATGTTCCCCTTGTCGTCTGTAGTTTATTATAAGCTAAGCCAAATCTTGCATTCAAAAATAAATATAAAACAAAGATCAGGATTTTAACAAGTTCACAGGAGAATAGCACAAAACAGATGTTTTTTTTTTTTAGAAAAAAACAGCAGAAGAAAATCTTAACTCTTCCTATAACACTGGCTGGGATAAGTGGTCAGATTAATGGATGGATGGTTGGATGCAGGGATGAAAAGAATCTTAACTCTCTCCATCATTCCAGTTAGCATGGAAAAAGAACAACATAGGTGAACAATCTCAAACTGGTATTGAGAGACAGAGCAGACATTGCTATGGAATCAGACCCTCTATCAGACATTCATCAGTTCAAAGAGGATCAGGCTTTAAAGGTCTTCTCCTTTGCAGATGTTCCCATATTCCTCCTACTGGGAGATACGTATGGTCCTGGGTCCACACACCTGCCCGGGACTTTAATTTAACATCTTGTAGTTTGTTATTTTCCATACCATGAAAGCTGATATACATACATATAGTCTAAAGGAGAATACATAGGAATTTAAAGGAGGACCCCCCTCCCCCCTGCACCCTGACCTCAAAAATTTAATGAATTAATGGGAACTTCACCCCGACCCCCAAATGGCAAAAACTGCTGGTCAGCCACACGCCCCCCTATTTGGGCACCTAATGTCACCAATAATCAGAACTAATGAAGCAAACGAAAGGAAATGAAAGCCAAGAGGAGTGTGGCCATGGCACAGTCGTCTGCCGCACGTTTGTTTGGGGCTTCGCGTACATCACAACGCTTGCATGAGTTTGATCGAGGCTTTCTATTGCAAAGGCATGTGTTTAAGGGGACCTGCCAAATGCCTTTGTGAGTGGATGAGTCCTGGAAGCCTGTCAGAAGCCAGCTTGTGTTGTGCCTCGTGTTTTACCGGGAGAAGCTGTCATGGACACTTATTTAACTAAGCAATGATTGGAGATGTGTAAAATCTGTGTGTACACAACTGTCCCTTCTATAAAAGGAGTTTTTAATAAGTTATTCAGCAGGCAAATCCTGCAGAAATTTTTTTTATTGTTTCACCGTTTTACTCTGTTAGCATAGAATTTATTATTCTTATTTTTAAATGTTTATTTCTTGTATCACAATATTCTGTTTTGCAGGATATTTTATTTGTGTACTGTCTACTTTTAAATTAGTATCCATCACGTTCACTACGCTTGTGCTGGGTATACTGTCTTTGCACCTTGTCTGTTTGGCACTATATGTTTATCTGTGCTCTGTACTCTTGCTGCTGTATGCACCGGAATTTCCCCCTGGGATCAACAAAGTCTATCTTTACTTATAATCTTAATCTTTAAGACACTGTGAGACATTTATCAAAAAAAATCATATAATTAGCGCCAACTTTGTTCCATCAATAGAACTCAAATTTAATGAAAGAAGGTTCCTGCAGCTCTTAAAACCTAAATGTAGTTTAGTCAGTTAAATTCAATTCAACAGCTTTAAGTCTTTGGGATTTTATTTTTTGAGAAATAGCCTGGTGCAGCACTACGGGTCAGTGATAAAATGAGAAGGTCAAAGGTCGGAGTTTTAGAAATTCTTGTCTATTTGGTTTGAGAGGGAAATGTTACATTTGGCGCTTTGCTGACAAATGCTGCAGATTTACAAACCTTGTACTGATTTTCAGGGCAGCGAACGGCTGACTTGGCACTATCAGAAAGACACTACTTATGAATTGGCTGTGGATTTTGTGAGATAAGTACTGAGTCATGCTGGTATCATTGCTACCAGCTCCCCTCTGCAGATCTTGGACCGATAGCAGAGCTGGTTTTAAAGGACCAAGCTTTATACTGGACTTGGTTCACCACAAAATCCCCTTCGATTAAATCTGAAGCCCTATCCTAAAAAAAAAAATTATGGCCTAATTGTATGTAATAAATTATTAAATTATATGCCTCACATCTATAAAAGAACTGAACACTCGTTCAAATTTGTGACCGTTTTGTGTTTTTTCATTCCTTAACACTAGAGGGCGATAATTAATCTAAATTATCCCAATGTTACACTTAGGTTTAAAAAGGAAGAAGAAGAAAAAAGAAGCCGAGGGCGGGGGGAGGCGCAGAGGAAAGGTCAGTATCAAGATGGCTGCCCGCTGTGTGTGGAGTACTGTGTCAGGCGTGTGGTGCCTAGCCAGCTCTTTAAGCAGAGGCGTTTTCCAGAAAATAAATAAGGTTCCACTCATTTGTGCTGGGAGTGTTCAGTGTCGGGGCATCCGCCAAGGTAAGTCTTGCGGTTATTTTTGCCGGCTGTTACCTTGAGTGAAGTACATCATTAGCCGCCTGTCATCATCAGCATGGAACATCGTTAGTCCTCTGTTATCATAAGCATGGAACATCGTCATCCTAGTGTTAGCCGGCTGTGAGCGTTAGCCTGGTGCATCGTTGGCAGGCTGTTAGCCGACTGTTAGCTTGAACGTGGTATTTCTTTAGCTAGCCGGTTGTTAGCATTAGCGTGGCATACCGTTGTCCTGCTGTTATCATGAGCGTGGTTTTGCTTAGTCGACTGTTAGTGTCTAGCCACATAGTCCGAGGGAGACGGCGAGGCGCTGTCTTCGAGCTGCTCGGTACCCGTTAATTTCTTCCAGAGCGCTTGTGTCCACAGGAAGTCCGTCCAAGTGGTTACGGTATGGGGAGCCGCGGGCCCATTCCGTGGTGATGCCTGAATGGGCAGAAACCCTATTTCAGCTGTGTAATTTTATATAATGTGTCACAACGATGTGTCCTTTTTTGTTTCTAGTGGTGGAGAAAACAGATGGCAAAACCACAACTGTAAGTATACATTAGATCCTGTAAAAGTCTGAAGTCCTTTATCCTCACAGTGCATCTTTAAGTTATTGTTTATGACATTATATTGGTACTGTACTGTTCTGTATGTGGAGGCCAGACCTGCAGCAAACAGGTGTCAGTGTTCTGGATTTCTCTGATGCTGCTTCCTCACCACACAGACCTTCTGCCTCAGTGTGAAAGTGGAATTGTTGGTGTAGGGCCACCTTATTCCCCCCACAGTGAATTTTTCTCTTGAGAAGTGTGGCATGTCCCTGTGTAACATTACCCAATGACTTTGCTGGGCAGATTGAGGGAATTTCTGTTGGAGCTTCACAGTGGCCACAGCCCCCGAACCCAGAAGGACGATGCCCCATCTGCCGGTGGAATCTGAAGCACAAGTACAGCTATGAAGTGAGTACGGTGCGTCCTGTACAGGAGCTGCCCAGTGCCAGTCACACACTGTACAGTGCCGTCTCCCTAAAAGCACGCTTTCTTCCTGAAGCTTGAACAGTTAACTAGGGGCTTTCTCTGCAGTGATGCTTTATCACTGTGCCTCCAAAAAGCTTCAGGGGAAAACTGCATTCTCTCTCCCATCACTGAAAGGAGAGACCCTTTTCTTCCCCAGTGGGTTTGGCCTCCCTGAGGGACACTTCACTGAGCCCTGCCTGCATGATCTGTGGAACCAGCCTCACAGCAGTCACGCTGCATTTTATTGAATAGTGAATCTGTGATGGCACTTGACGCCTGTTGGTTCTGATTGGCTCACATAATGGAGAGGTCGGCCTCCTCTCCTTCCCGATCGCCTCCCATCTCCCCCTCGGCTCCTCCTCCTGTCATTCCCAATGGCCTCTGACTCCCCCTGCTCTCCTTCTTGCCCCCCTCAGCTCCCCCTCTCTTTCCTATCCCCCCTCCCCAAAGCTCCCAGTGTCTTTCCCAGTCCCCCTTGCCC